AAAACGCGGCCGGAGTTGGCTTGAGACACGTGACGTCATTCATCGCTCGGTGTTCCTGTGTTTGCTCCCTTTTCTTGTAAAAAAAAACTAGGTCATGAGCATACACATACTGTCCCTATAACATCTGTCATTGTAGTAAATTTATTTGGATGTATGAATATTTGTTACTATCTCCAATTGACTTAAAATTTGAAATAAAAGTAGAGTATACTACAATAAATAGATTTTTTAGTCTTCTGCACTGAGGTTCGACAACTATTTTTAAATAGTTATTTTGAAGCAATTTTGTCATGGTATTTTTTTTAGTATATCGTTGTAAAGTTTAGGTGGTTTTAATAGTTTTTCAGTTTTTTGTGTATTTAAATGTTTGTTGTGTAGATATCCAACATCAGTCCGACGACGCGTGTCCGCGATCTCAAGCAGGCGCTGTCGGAGCGCGGTGTTAAACCGCAGATTATGGTCTGGAAGGTAATTATATTTCAGTTTTACTATATTTAATCTTACTAATATTACTATACTAGCTTTCGCCCGCGACTCCGTCCGCGTGGAGTTCAAAAAGACAAATGTTAGTAGCCTATGTGTTCTTCCAGATTTTCCTCAACGTCTATGTGCAAATTTCATCGAGATCCATTCAGCCGTTTAGGCTACAAACTCTAACAAACATCCATCCATCTAAACTTTCACATTTATAATATTTGTAAACTTAGTAAATGCGAAAGGATGTTTGTTAGAGTTTGTAGCCTAAACGGCTGAACAGATCTCGGTGAAATTTCGCCTAGATGTAGAGGATAGTCTGGAAAAACACATAAGCTACTCACTTTTGCTTATTTTAATTCCACGCGGACGGAGTCGCGGGCAAAAGCTAGTTTATTTATAATTCATATTAGCATTAAACCACTCTATCGTTTTCAGGGCTTCCGCGGTTTTTGCTACCTCCACTTCTTTAAGCCGGTTCCTCAAAAAGTAAGTGCTTTTTAAAATACAGAATTGTAAAAATAGTTGATTTTTGTTGTGAACATGTGCAGTAGTAGATAATTTTAAACATACCCACAGAATTTAAAACTTGCTTGTAGAAGTTTGTTAAGCCCACTACACACTTTCAGTTTTATCTGAATAGTCGGATCGATCAGATAAATATAAGGTGTAGGGAAAACTGAATAATTCCTACTGATGGAATGTAAGTATAACCTATAAAACCTGGATTCTACTGCGAAGAAATATTCATCTAAACTAATATTGTAAAGAGGAAAGATTTGTATTTTTATATGTATTGAAATAATTCAAAAACTACTGGGCATCGGCCCAGTTTAAATCAGTGAGTAACGTATGCTATGTTTTTTATTATTTTTTTAATTACTCGCGGGCGTAGTCGCGAACAACAGCTAGTAATTTACATATCAGTGATTGATATACGTTTATTTTACTAATTTCAAAAACTTCTATTTAACAACACCTACACACGTCAGATTAATCTGACCGGAATTGGTCAGATAAAAATGAACGTGTGTAGAGGGCTTTAAAATACATTATTTTTCCTTCGGCAATCATTTCCATATTATTCAAAAATCAGTAAAATGTGTGTTTTTATGCGTGTTTCTTTGTGTTAGTGTTATTTTTAATTTTGATGGTATTTCAGGGTGAAGGTGACAGCGCGCCTGCTATCAATATGGACAGCGTGTTGAACGCGCTGGCGGAAATGTCGCTGGGCGGGA